TATTCGATCTCCTTTTCTGTAGTAGAGAATCGGTCGAGTTGTCCAGGTGTACTGCTAAAAATCTTCGCGGGTGGCGAGGCACTGCGCGATATCATCGAGACGCGTTAAATCAGGCATTATTACAGTTGTATCAACTACAAGAAAGTATAGGCGTCGAGTAGGCTTTTTAGAAAATTCGAACTCCACGTGGACCCAGCAAATAAAGGACGGCTTCTGATGCATGTTTTACGAATATAAATATAATGATTTTGGTTGGTGAGCTTCTTCTATTTGGACTATTTGAGGTCTCCGGTTCCTCTCAAAGAATGTTTACGACTGCTTTTAGACTCTGTTGACGGCCGGCGTGGTGCAGCATGTATTCACCGGCGGCAAGTAGGGTATATACAATCCGTCGATTTTATGTAAACCGTTGTCGCCAATTAAATACTCGGTTAGGAACTGACAATATCACTTAGAAAGGTGGACCATTCGTTACTTCCTTTCTTCTGTGGTTTGAAGGTTTGACCGTAGCTAAGGACAATACCCAGCATGTGTCCCGCGATATATTGGACGCCGTACGGTGACTTGCGCATGAATTTGGTTAGAGTAATAGAAGATTTGCACAGCATTTTCCGTATACCCCCCCTCGACTAGCCCGCTCTGGTAGTAAGACGCCCAGAACAACCGTAGGAAGGCTCGAGTGCAATGGTTGGTTGATTTAAACAACCTGTTTACGCGTGACACACACGATCCGGTCTCCGCACAATGTGTCCAGTTTTTGCAGAAGCCAGGGGCAGTTCTAATCTCAATTTCGTGGGTGCCACAGAGGCCACATTTAGAAGCAGCCACTGAGCCTGAATCTCCGTCCTCGAACCAATCATATCTCCTACAACCAATACCAGCTACTAGTATTGAGTTAGTTTGCCCTAGCCACGAATTTTAGCACATCCTGATAATTTCGAAGTGCGCGAGATTTATTCGAATGAGGAATACACTGGCCCTTAGACATGCGGGTGGAGTCCAGCCCACTAAGCGCCGTTTTCAGTGGCAGGTAGTAGTTTTGGCTGTGGTGGCTGATTAGACACACAATACGCTCGAAAAAACTGAAGTCTCAACCACTCCCATCTTTCTCAGCTTGCCTTTTGGGGGCTTTTACATTCACCAAGTTTTCCCAATTTGTACACTAACTGCATTCGTCAACAGAAACTTGTTTAGGTAGTCGTTTTCCATTTTGTGTCTAGTCTCTGCTACACTTTCCTTACTTTCTTTCTTCTTCAGACGGCAAAGCCTTACTTGAATGCTGTTCGCGCAACTCTTACCGCTGCCTTGTGCATCGAAAACTTTCCCTCCCAGGTTGTCGAACGACATAACAAACCTGAAGTCGAGGTGCAAACCTCAAAGGAACTACTACTCAATCCGGTTATTGTGAGCAGAAACGAGCGTGAACGAGTGCTGATTGAGGGTTCCGTAAATTCAGTTCGTGTCAGCATTGCGGTCAAAAAGTCTGATGAAATCGACAGCCTCATCTGCCAAAAGTTCATGCGTTTCATGATGATGCGTGCCGATGACTTCGTCATCCTTCGTCGAAAGCCTATTCCTGTAAATACACCGTTTTTTTTTAAAATAGTGCTCAAAATTAACTGGTTTATTGATTGGTCTTTGTCTTGTTTTGGCTAGTGTTTACCTCCTTTTACTGTTAAACTTTTATTATGGCATTTCCGACTCAGGTCCCTTTAAATCTCGGCAGAATTGATCTCACTGTGTCTAGGATAGCCTCCGCTGTTTTTCGGCATTCGCTTTCCCTTGAAGTTATGTCTGTGTGAATAGAAAACAGACACGATAACCAAAAGTATACGAGAGCCGGTTTACCTTATGTACTGTCGACCGAATTCCCGATCTGTTTTCGTTTAGGTGGGTTTGTAATACTAATTATCGTGCGACACAGTCGCAGGATTTTTAAGTCACGACAGGTTGTCGGTTTTGAGTGATTATCCAGTCGCCTGCAAACTACACGCTCTCAGAAAGACTGCTTACGTAGTGTGACTTTCTCCCACAGACAGAAGACGCCCTTATATGCATCTATATTTTATCGGTAACATACAACAACAGAATCAGCAAATTGCTTCTTATTTAAATGTAATATTTTAAAAGGGCAATTTTTCGGTTTGAAATGTTCTGTTCCATTCCCAAGTACTTTTGAGCCCAATCTGTGGCATTTGCCCTCCGAGTCTCCAAACTACATGCTATAAACTATACATGTGAAGAAAATTGTTTATTCGATTAAACAGGTGCCATATAGGACTCATACAATTTTTGTACTTAAGGCGGACCATGTTGTACACTTCACAAGCAACTTTTATAGACAGACTGGTACGATGCCCTATGAATGAACATTTCACGGTTTTGATGAATCTCATAATTGAAAATTCCTCTACCCTGGAGGATAATTTTTCTTCAAGTATAAAAGTTAAAGAAGACTAATTTTCTACTAAATGGTTAGAAAAAAAAGTGCTAATTCTGTTTTTCTGCACGTACGTAAATTTATAAGTGCACCAAAAACCAATGTGAAAAAATATCTACTTTTCATGTATTCATTTTATCGGGCGTAGTTTTTGTAGGTGATCGAAACAAAACTCGTCCGAAAATTGCCACCCTGTCGTGACTAAAATTTCTTAGTATTACAACCTCACCTACGTAATCCTTTGTAATCAAAAGCAGATTCCAGAATTGTGATTAACATTCTATGACATAGGCTTGCTGCTGTAGGTCGAAAAATGCCTCAAAATCCTATAAGTAAAGCGTCGAATCACCGCTTTGAGTATTGCAACTGTTAGATTTCAAATTATCCATTCACGTGGTTTTGGTAGATGCACAGTGAATATCGGCACCCTAAGACTCAATTTCACAGCAGTTTGCATTATACCTTCTAACCATTAAGTATGTTAGTTTACCAAAACTGCATTTGCATTACTGGGAAGTAGGCGTCATTTTGCTGATTTGAATTACCGTAACGGACTGCAATTTTGAAAATTTTGCTGCCCTTGACCAGCTGGAACTAGTCACATCGGCGTAGACACATCTACTAAAAAGTGAGTCTGGTATTCGTTTGGTGAATTAAATTGCTCGTTTTAAGCAACCTGCTAGACAGTTGACTGGTAATTTAGTTCAGATTTTAGAGATTTTCAGTCATGCCCACGTGGCTCGGGTGGTTCTTGTGTTGCCTACACTAGAACCTCGTGTTCTGTAGCGTATTCCGGCTCCGGTAAGTTTAACCAGCGGATGCAGAACACACTGTGCGCAAACAGCCCGGCCCGTCAAAGGCGTCATGCACTTATCATTGTGCTAGTCTCAGGGATATACAGACTGGGATCAGTTATAATGGACACCAAATGTGTACACATTAAACCCCTTTGGGTTATATCTGGCTAATTCGAGTTCCTGGTGGATAGAGTCAGTCCACATTGTTGGTTTGAAATCTCTCGGTTGAGGCGATACGCCTCTGCCCTCCGCCTGGCTTGCTTTAATCCCATGAGCTTCCTTTTTTCCGTTTGGTCCTCCTCAGGATAACTGCCCGTTCCAGAGGCTCGACAACGACAGATGAATCTCTTTTATATGCATATTTTAATATACATTTTTATGTATAAAACGCCTCCACGTCCTTTTTTGCTATTAGGCATCTTTCACTTTTTGTTGCCAGGGCTATGATGTATCCTTCCTGATCACAAATTTTCACACCGAAAAAATGCTCAGAAACAAACTTGTGGACTTTATTATCACCTTCATGGAGGAGATTGACAAGGAGCTCTCAGAGATGCGTTTAGCCGTCAACTCGAGAGGTCGCCTGTGCGCCGAGGAATTCCTGAAGGCCTTTGACTAGACTGATTTTGCGAAAACTCGCTTTCTTTTCTGCTTTGCTCATGTCTGCGTTTTTCGCTTTTCTTACCCAACCTAACCTGGATCACCGTCGGGACCCAACTCGTGATTTAACGTATTGATCATTTTAATAAATTCTGCCCTTTTGTGAATGCCATTCCTCCCAGGTTGGGGTAGACTGATACTTCTTGCGTTCCGTGAGATCTTGCTGGGCTTGCCTTGTCTTCTAAAGACCATCCGCCAGGAAGGGTGCCCATCAGCTATTGTCTGTTTACCCTGTTTCTTCTAACTATCTGTTTGGAAACAACTAGACTGTGACTGACGGTGCCTGTTAGCACGCTTGTAAATAGTTACACCCCTCGGGTTCTGGTACTACTAATTGTTCCGATGTGTCATGCGGTGTATTACACTAATTCTCTTCTCATTCTTCCCAGTTGTACGTGCTTCTCTCGCCCAGGTGCTGATCCCCAATTGAATGGCATATTTTTGTTGATACGGTTTTGACGCCTATGCGGTAGGTGTACCATCTCATAAAGTGTTAACCGAAATTCTGATATGTTTTCTAATAACAAAAATTACCTAATAGGGATTATACTTTTAATCAGCCTGCAGCATAATACTCCAGATATCGCAGTCATATCGGAATGTCGGCTTTTGAATGAGCACTTTTCGGGCCGGCTATAGAACCTACAATGTAACCAGGGACTACTGGAGTAGCATCCATGTGTTTACATTGATTTTTGATGCCCTCATAAATTTAAACAGTGGCAGATAAGCGCTCACCGATCGGTTACAGGACTCAGTAGTCCCATTGTGCCTTCGGACTCACTTTGAAGTCCCGCTAGCAGCCGGACAGCGGCTAATGTAATAGGAAGAATGACCTTACCGACAAAGGCAAGTGAGACTGGAATGGCCATTTCTGGCTCATTGGCCGTCAACAGCCTGTCAGACCCGACCCAAAGTGGTGCCCCACCCGAGGTTAGAACCCGCGACCTTGTTAGTTAAAAGTGCAACGCTCTGATCACTGCGCCACGGGCTCATTACCTTGCCGGTTTTGATCAGGAATATATACAATGGCAGACAAGCGCTCACCGATCGGTTACCAGAATTACTCGTCCCGTTATGCCTTCGGGTTCACGGAATGCATGCACACAAACATTCTTTTAATCATTTGATTGCCGATTACGTCGTCTTTAGATACGATACTCGACAAAAGGGTATCTTTCGGTTTTAAAATCTCCTTTACTTTCCGAATACTTTTGAACCCGTCCCGCTGTTACTCGCATTCAGGATTTACAAACTATAAGCCATATATTTTTCTGTTAAAGAAAATCATACCTTTCTTTTTAGTAAAATACAGATGTCATTTAGTTCTCCCAAAATGTTGTGGTGGATGTGGATCATGAAAAGGAATTTCTTATCTCATTGGTAATTTAAACGAGTTCAATTGTACTGATATACTGTTATACACGCAAAAAATAATTTCTCGTAGTGTTAGAGGAGAGCCAGCCGCGATCCAGGTGCCAGTTTGAGAGCAGTCAGGCCAGTAGACAGAGTGAGACAGCGTTCATTGGCTAGGTTGGACACCGTGCGGGTTGACAGCGTGTGGGTGGTCCATGTCTCGCGGCAGTAAGTCTGGCGACCG